TTACATTTAATTTTAAACTTAAGTAATCCTAAATTGAAGAATGGGAAAAAGAAGGGAAAATTAGTAATTAAGTCATAATACCTAACATAATTAGTCAAAGTAACAACACTTTAAAATATTTATTTAAAATGGCAGAATGACAATATTTTTATAAAATAATATGTATTCAGATTTTAGTATTCAAAATTAATTTTATTTATGGAAAGAGTCCTATATTGGACCAAATTATATACCAATAACCGTTTAAAGAAAAAAAAAATTAAACCAATACACATAAACCTTTTTTCAACTCCATTCACGTTTCTTCCCCACTTTTCACGTTTCTTCCCCACCTTTCAAGTTTCAAGTTTATCTTTCTTCAAGGTGCTAAATTGTTGTTCATCAAGATGTTTTCTTTATTGTTAAATGAAATCTATTTATTAATTCAAGCAGATTTATCGATTGGCAAGGTAATTTCCATTATCCATTTTGATTTGATGTTTAAATCACCGATTCTATATATTACGGATTTTCAGTCGAATTTTTCAATTTTTATGTGATTTTGTTTAGTTATTCATCAAATAGTTATGATTTTCATTTTTTTTGTGATTTTCTTTTAATTTTTCAGATTTTGGAGAATCTAGAAATTCATATGTATGTTTATTTTGTTTGATATTTAATACATTCTAATTTTTGATAATTTCGAAATTCAAATTATCAAAAATTTTGTCTTCATATTTGAGATTTAGTAGATTGTAGTAACTACATTAGCACACATACATCATATATTGTTTGATTTTTTTATACATTCATATTTAATAATTTCGAATTTTGCTTATAGGGTTACTAATGCACAAGTGAATACAGATTTAGATTCGATTTTGATGGAAAAAAATCGGAAAAAAGAACATAGGAGATGAAGAAGAAAAAGAAAGACAGTCAAAGAAGAAGGTTACAAAATTGTATTCATACCACAACTGTATTCCTATTAATTTTTGTTTATCAATTGTTTTTCTTTTACTCATCATTTGTATTTTTATTTTAAAACATTGTATTTCTTTTTTAGTTTGTAGTAATTTAAATAGGTATATAATGTATTCGTCACAATTCTATATCTTATGATTGAATACATAATTTATAGAATTGTGACGAATGCATTATATATAAGAAGGGAAATGAAAACTTATTGGTATTCATTTTTTCGTTTGAAATACAAAAATCATATGGAAATACAACCTGATATTTGAAATACAAACTTAGTAAGACATATTTTGTATTTTATTTGGCTAAAACAATATAATTTTATGAATACATAATATATAAAATTGTGCGACGAATACATCACAAGAAGGGGAATACAAAATTATTAGTATTCATTCTGCGTTTGATATACAAAATTATATTGAAATACAACATGATATTTGAAATAAAAACTAAGCTGGAAAATACTTTCTGCAAATTTAAAGTGAAATAATAATATAACAAAATTGGGTATTGAAATATAAATACAATTTATTTTGAATAAACTTATTCTATGTATTATATATGTATTCATCGCAACTGTATTTTTCAATATCATTTCGATCTACAACTAATTTGTATTTATATTTTGGTATATACTACACAACTGCCTTTATTTTTGTACTTGAACTAGAATGCCAAAGAGTTGTATTCATAATAAATCAATACCAACATTTTTTGTATTTTAAATTAGTTATACATATCATTAGGTATTCGAATACATTTCGGATGAACACATATTCAAAGAAGTTCAAACATTTAAATATCCAAAACAGAGGGCATTAAAAATTTTCCAACACTTCCACTCATATAAGATAAAAAATACTAACTACTGTTTCCAAAAAAAATATGAAATTCTTAAGAACAAAGAAAAAAACACTAGAAAGAAAAATGGCAACATATGCTCTTCCAAAAATGTAACTGATGTTAAATTTTTTTAAAAAAATTACCTTTTTTGAAATTTTTTGTTCCATGATTTTCTCTATTCAGTTATTAATTATTTGTATTCTTTCAAATTAATCAAAATAAAATAAATACATAACTCAATCCTTAACAAATTAAAATATTGACATTTTAAATAAATAGTGAAACTATTGCTAAGGAGTCCCATTAAAAGCTAAAATATTGTTGTTTTGAAAATTTTCCCAAAAAAGAATTAAGTGAAAACGGAGAGAGAGGCCTTGATCTCGAATTTAATTACAATAATTAGGTGCAACTCCTTTCTAGACGCTAGAGGTAAATTAATTAATTATTTCAATAACTGCCCATTTTTTTGTTAAAAATGTTAAACTATAATTTAAAAACATATACTCCCTCTGTTCCTAATTACTTGTCTACTTTTTCTTTTTAAGTTGTCCCTAATTACTTGTCCATTTTGACAAATCAAGAAATGACAATTTTTTTTCCTATTATACCCTCAATTAATTACTTTGAAAAAGGTAGAACTTCTTGAAAATTTTAGGTTTTTAATTCATCCACTTTATAATTAATAGGGGTAAAATGATAAACTTACTGTATCACTTATTATTTTCTTAATAGGTTTGTCAATTGAAAAGTGGACAAGTAATTAGGAACAGAGGGAGTATATTTTATTGAAAGGACAATTAAAGAAAAAAAAGCAGATGTTAGATAATTGACCCCTTACACATGATTTATGAGCTTCATTAATTATTTATATATATACACATATAGGTACTTTCCATGTACGGTGACAGTTACTCATATATTTGTATATTCCTTTTTGTAGAGATCGAAGGGTATAGTGATGGAATAGGGGTAGGGTAATACTGCTTCGTTTCTAAATACTTGTCATTGTTATTAAAAATATATTTTTTATTTTAGAAACAAAGAAACAATTAAGTATATGTCTAAGAGGCGTAAAAATAAAAAATGTGACAAGTATTTAAGAACGGAGGAGAGGGAGTAATAAAGAAAATTAATTATGGTCAAAGGGAGCCTTCATGTCATCACTAATCTGGATTTAGAGATATTAACTACTCCTTACCTAATATGCCATCCAAATCGTTCATTCATTAACAATCAATAATAGAATCATGGTAGACCATGCTAATTTGGTTTTCTATACCTAAAACAGCCCTCTAATTTTGGCACTAATTTTCATGTCATGTTCCAATGATTATTTTAATTAGAACAATATTACAAATCATATTTTACCTTATCTTAAACCAAAAAGAGTAGGTGTATTACTTCCCCTACCTCCCACCCAACTAGGCGTCTATCACCTTTGAAGTAAAAATAAGAGTTTAATTATGTCTAACATGTAAAAAAGATATGTAACATTATCTTTATTTTATCGGTAAAACAACTTATAAAAGGAGTTAACTAGCACAAAAGTAAACCAACCTTTTGGACTGCTACGTAAAATATCATTAGATTTCAAAGTAGAATTATCTAATTCAATTTTTTTTGACACAATTGTGTACATTTAGTATATTTAGTAGCACGATCACTTAACTGATGCCATCGAGTTTCAGTAGCTAAAGAGTAACCAAAAACATACTCAAATATGCAATTATAATTTTTTTTAAAAACATAATGAATTATGATTTAAATTCAATTGAATTCATCAGTTGGTTGAGAGTGAGAATTAGAAAGAAAGCCACGAGGGAAAATGGAGTAAAATATTACTATTAGGGTAAAATTTGAAAAGAATAATATAGTACTGAAAGTAAAAAAGAAGTAAAAATAGGGTTCTGAGTTTTTTCAAATTTCAAAAACAACTTCAAGCTATATTTAAAATTCTTATGTTCGATTTTCAAATATTTTTTTTTAAAAAAAACTAATGAATATTGACTCGATTAAAAAAATGATGAACCAATCTTTACATCGAAGTATTCTCTATTAAAGAACTTCTTCTTTTTCATATTTAACGATGCCACATTTCAAGTTTTAAGATTACTTTTCGTTGCTATGATGAAACTTCCTAAATAAGGGACCAAATAACAAACAATATTCTATATATGGAAATAAAATGATATTCCAGTAATCTAAAAATAGAAAGAAATCTCTACTGCTTTGAACTTTAGGATATTCTTTCTTTTTTCTTTTTGGATAAACTTGAGTATTTGCTACTCATAATGCATATAATTGTACACCCGTAACTGTTGAGCTAATCACTTGGTTTGATTAGGAGGACACAACCTGATTAGCCGAGTTGGAAATTAAAGTTTGTGGGTTCAAAAATTTATTTCTTTCAAGTTATTGGATTTTAAATTAATAATGGTTCATATTTAATGAATTTCTTCTAAAAATTCAAAATTTGAACAAAAGTTGCTCAATTTGATCGAGTTCATAGTCAACTCACTAGCTCTGCCACCGAACCTTGATCACCCTTTTTTGTTTTATAAACACTACTTTTTTTATTATTATTATTCTCTTCGTCTCAATTTATGTGTCACCTTTTAGATTTCTTCGACATTCAAACAAGTCTATCTTTGATTGTAAATTTTTCATATATTTTAAAATATTTTTAAATTGACAATCGTTGTAACTTATACTATTTTTTACATAGTTTCCGAATATATAAATTTTGTTTCAAAAAAATTAAAGATTTCATGCTTAAAATTACGATCAAAACTAGACTATTTGACTCTCGAAAAGTGAAAATCGTTATATAAATGGAGACAGATGGTGTATTATTTTTGTTGTTTTATGCCCACTATTATGAATTACATATCCTAATTTTCTTGAAATTGTGAATTTTTAATCTAATAAATAATTAATTAGATGGGCAATATAGTAAATTTGGCAAAAGCATGACTTTGAAGTAACTTGACCATCTTGCTTTAGCTGAACTACCAAGAATGTAGTTCCACTTACTCCATATCCCATATTGTTTATAACATTTAACAAACCTTGAAAGTCCTTTCTCACCAAACGCACTAATCCTAAAAAAATAAATAATTTACTATATATCATATAAAAACCACCAATAAACATACATATATAGACTCCTCCATCACAATAATATTGAAGAACATAAAATTAGTATAACTTCATATGGGTAAAAGTCACCAATTACTAGTTTCTGTTCCATCAACATCAAGTGCTCCCATTTGGGATATCAAATGTAGTTTTCATTCCCTTATTGTTGTTTTAATCGTCTCCCTCGTAGCCGGAGTAGTTTACTTGACTGGTGAGAGTGGCAAATTATTGTTTGAAGATAATAGTAATAGTAATAGTAATTCAAGTATGGGAAAGGAAAATGAGGAGTCATTAACGTATTCTTCTTCAAATAATAAGTGTAATTTGTTTTCTGGGAAGTGGATTTTTGATAACGAGTCGTATCCACTATACAAAGAACAAGATTGCAAGTTCATGTCTGATCAATTAGCTTGTCAAAAGTTTGGAAGAAAAGACTTGAATTACCAACATTGGAGGTGGCAACCTCATCAATGTGATATTCCAAGGTTTTTTTGTTTCCCTTTATGTTTCAATTATTATGTTAAAAAAAGACTTTTTTTTTACATGTTAGTATTATATAATTTGCCTATGCGAGTTTGACATAGTATAACATGTATGTAAGATAAATAAAGGTGGGTTATGATAGGTTGACAAGTCGGAACAAAATTATTACAGATAACATGTCTTATTATCCATGTTACTATTCACGCTCTTTATGGTTATGATAGTTAATGTATATGAATTGAGATAGTGTACAAGTTTTTATACATATTTTTAGGGTATAAAAGTAATTAAAATAGTTGATAAATAGGGAAAACACATGGGAGTGGCACTAAGATTGTAACTATGACTTCTATAAAAGAGTTTAGCTATAGTTTTGTTCTTATGTTTAGTTTTGTCTCATTGAAATATATATGCAAGTGACCATGATGTGTATTCTTTTTGGGATTTTTTCACAAAATAGCCAATCAGATTCATGGTTTACTTTTCTTAATAGTATACGTGAATTATATACTGATTATACATATATTATACATTTGTCAGCTATTTTTAGTTTAAATGGTTGGGTGAGCAACTATTTTTGGATATAGTATATTTGAGCTTTGGGTGGAATGTTTTTGGTGTTAAAAAAGGTTCAACGCGACAACATTATTGGAGAAATTGAGGAATAAAAGACTTGTGTTCGTGGGAGATTCTCTTAACCGAGGCCAATGGGTTTCAATGGTTTGCTTGATAGATACAGCAGTTCATGATTCTTCCCTTAAATCAATGCATTACCGATACAATACTTCATTGATCATTTTCCAAGTCAAAGTAAGTCAAAACAATTACATTTCATTATTCTCTAATTCTTAACTACAAAACAACTGCCCAAATTTGCAACTTTGACTTGACACATGATTAAAAAAAAGGAAAATATTTGAAATTTGTGATCTAAAACAAATCTTAGATATTTGTGTGATCAGAAATCATTTTATTAAATGTAAAAGAAAATTTTTAAAGTTGGATTGTCTTTAATTATTAAAAATGTGACAATTTTTTTTTGAAACACACTAAAAATAAAATAAAAATGCATCACATAAATTGAGACAAAAAGAATTAATTATATTTCATATATTTTTGGTAGTTGATCAATAGCATCCTTTTTGCTGTCAGGAGTCAACATCCTAGTCCACCAAGGGATAAAAGTAGAAATTTATAAGAATGATACTGCAATTTATTAGCCAATTATATAAATAATCTTAATGTTTAGCCCAAAAAAGAAACAAGATTAAGACTTAATTCGTTTGTCCTATAAATTTTTTGTCATATGTTAAACTATTTATGGTCTGAACAATTCTGTTAGAGCAATATATGTTTGACCTTATTTTTTCAAAGTTTAGGATATAAAAAGCTTACTGATTAAATTAGGATGGAAGTCCAATCATAGAGTTCGAGAAGACAAAGATAGTTTATAATAGTCAGATGTCATAGTTGGCTTAGCTTTGCTGCAAAGTAAACCTGGAATATTATCTTAATTTGAGGTACAATTATCTAATCAACAACTGTTTTATGCGTGGTTATCAATCTAAGTTTTGGTAATATTTTAATTCTAACTTTTCATATTACATGTTTAAGATCACAAGATTAAAAATATTTTTGTACATTATACATATCTTTATTTTGAAATTGCAATATTCAATTCTTCTTTTATTTTATTAAATTCTTGTCGGATCATAACTAGATAAACAAATTAAAATCGCTGAGATAAAAATAATTTCTTACACTATTGGAACATAGAAAAGACAACTAAAAGACGAGGCTGACAAAATGGTTTTAAAATGACATGAGTTGGATATCTGACTTTTGAAAAATGTATATCCAGATGAATAATAAGTACAGTATTATTTTATTTTATGAGAGTCTCAGATTATTTTGCTTTTTAGCTTGACTATTATTGAAATTATGAATAATATGAATATTTATATTATTTGTCGATTATTATTTCATTTTTTTTAATCTATATTTAAATTAAAACAAACAAGTCAAATATTTTATCCATTTTTATTGAACTTATTTTCAACTCGTTCTATTCAATCCGACACCCAATTTGCAAGTCCTATTTAAGGTGACCATCCACAATTAGAAAAATAAAGCAAACATAAAACTAGCTAAATAAAATAATGCAAAATATATTGATCATAATGTAAAAATCTTTTACATTTGTAATGGAAATGCAGGATTATAATGCAACAATAGAATTCTACTGGGAGCCATTGTTGGTGGAATCAAACTCAGATGACCCAGTGCACCATCGTCTCCCTGAGAGAATTGTTAGAGCCAATTCCATTGAAAAACATGGTAGTCGTTGGACTAATGCTGATTTTATTGTCTTCAATACTTACCTTTGGTGGAGACGCCCCCATATCAAAGTCTTGTGAGTATAATATATATAATAGTATTATTCAAAACTTATACCAACCATTATATATTGATAATAATGATACGCAGCTGACTAGAGTTATGCATGTATATGAAGGGTAGTACTTATGAGGAAATTTATGTGGAGTATTATTGTATGCAAAGTTTAGTTATTCATGTATCAGTTATTTCAATTTCTATTATGCATAAAATTATACTCCCTCCGTTTCACAAAAAATGACCTCCTTTCCTTTTTAGTCAGTTTAAAAAAGAATGACCTCTTTCCTTTTTTGGTAACATTTTACTTTTTGCTTTCCACATGGCATGTTTAAGACCACAAGATTAAGGGCAATTTTGTACATTTGACATAACTTTAATTTAGGACCACAAGATTCAAAAGTCTTCTTTATTTACTTAAACTTCGTACCAAGTCAAACCAGGTCATTCTTTATGAAACGGAGGGAGTATATTGGTTCTCTCGCTAAAAGACTTGCTTTCTTAAAAAAAAGTTTTCTTTATTAAGAGACCTTTAAGAAGCTAAGCTCCTTCAGGGTGTTCATCCACTTGACTGTAAGGAGAGGGGCGACAGGAGAGGGCTTGCTTATTAGCCTACTTTTCCAAGAGGTGACAAAAGCGTAACGACCTTAGCCCAAACTTAATTAAACTTATACATATTAGACTATTAGTTATGAAAGTTTTTAAAGGGCAAACCAAAATACCATACTAAATTTTATACATAGTCCTTATAACCATCTATCAAATATGATATTAGTTTCACATGATCTTATACAAGTATAATATTTCCTTAGACAACTACCAAATGACCCCTAAATGTAATTTTATATATCATCAAGTTATGTGTTGTAAAAATTTGATGACATTTTATAATTATGTATTACTATTATTCATCTTAGGTGGGGTTCATTTGAGAGGTCAGATGGAATTTACAAAGAAGTAAAAATGTTACGGAGCTACGAAATGGCTTTAAAGGCTTGGGCTGATTGGTTGGAAATTCATGTCAATCGCACCAAAACCCAATTGTTCTTCATGAGCATGTCACCAGTTCATGAAAGGTAATCTCGAAACACAATTAGTTTTACTTTTTCTATCGAGTGAAAGATAATTAGTTACAAATGTCAAGTATGAAACCACAAATTGTATGGTTTTGTATTGGCTTGATTGTTATACGGTCACTCAACTAATATTTATTATCTCAGAAAGTTTGTTTTCTTCTTGATTTCAGTTTTCTATAACAATTAAAAAAAATGACTTTCGAAAATATTAACTATTTAATTGAGTAACCATTTGAGAAATTTGTGTCCAAGAATGTTTAAGTGAGACTTGTGGTCCTCATTTAAAAATTAAGTTAGTTTTAAAAAATTAACTAAACTATTCTTACTAACATTTTCTTAACTCTTTATGAAAACTATCTCTTACTTTAAAGGAACCACCACCTTTAAGTTATTTCAAAAGTACTATTCTCCCACTTTCAGTTTGTATGTCCTACGTTCCTTTAGTCTGGTTCAAAAGAATATCTCTTTTTATGTTTGACAACTCTTCAATATTACTTTTCCATATAATATTTTTATGACCATAAGATTAAAATAATATTTTTATACATTCTATATATTTTAAGTTTATGATCATTAGGTTTAAACGTCTTCTTTACTTTCTTAAACTTCGATTCAAGATTTTAAGTTTATGATCATAAGGTTTAAACGTCTTCTTTACTTTCTTAAACTTCGATTCAAGTCAAAATCTGACAAACAAATTGAAACATGTGAAGTATAAGCTTAAAGGTATAATATCTTATTATATCTATATTATAAGCTGGTTTGACCGACTTATAAACTTACTGAAACACCCTCACTCATAGATAAAAGGGTCGTTCATTATCCCTACCAACGTTGAATCAACAACACAAGTCCTTTAATTTCTTTATATCAATCAACAGGGCTGAAGAATGGGGTAAAGCAAAAGGGGAAAATTGTTATAGTGAAAAGGAAATAATACAAGAAGAGGGATACCAAGGAAATGGATCAGATCCAAAGATGATGAAAATAGTTGAATCAACTATGGATGAACTCAAACATAGAGGATTAAATGTTCATTTACTCAACATAACACAACTATCAGAGTATAGAAAAGAGGGCCACCCTTCTATCTATAGAAAACAATGGGATTCTCTTACTGAAGAACAAATTGCAAATCCAAGTAGTTATGCTGATTGTATACATTGGTGTCTTCCTGGAGTACCTGATGTTTGGAATGAGCTTCTTTTTGCATATATGTTTAATAACTACTAAGACTTGAAAGAAATTTTGGATTTTGTAAAGTTTTTTTTCTTTATTTAGACTATAGTCCCATATGACATGAATATGGACCAAACCGTTTGCATGTGGGACTGGTTTTTCTTTTGTTTTATTCTCTTTGTGATTTTGTTGAAATCCAAAATTGTAAGTGGTATATTTGGCAATTGTATATAAGTAACAAATTGACAATTGCTATAAGATTTTAATTTTCGACTTTTGTTAAGAAATTAATTTGTTTAGATTAAGAAAATGATGTAATCTTCATTTATTTAGGTTATAATTTGAATTTTATGGTCGACTTCTATGTTATATACTTCATATTTAACTCTTTTATTCTGTTTGATTGATTTTTCCAAAATTTAGTGGATTTAATTAAGAAAGAGGAAAAACAATCAGTCTCCATATGATAAAATTTTCCAGTATCAACAGAGGAGATAGACTTGGACCTGTTAGAATTATACATTTGAACTGTAGTAACTTTATTTTATTGCTTTAATCATTGAATAAATCCTAGTTTTAGTTGGTTAGTTAGTTACATGGTACAGGGAATTCCAGTAGCTAGTTTCATGGTACAGAGAATGAGGATGTGTTTGAGTTTAATTCTAAATTGTTATGGGAGATTGCATAAGTTGGGTATTGTGCACCAACATGAAGTAGAGTTTGTTACTTTTCAGCTGCAAGGTGATGCTAAGCAGTGGTGGCCTCCGATGACTTGAGCACTGTTTCATGGACTGTTTCTAGAGAAATATGTACCCCGTGCTCTCAGGGATAGCACAAAGGGTGAGTTTCTAGTCCTTAAACATGGTAGCATGTCTGTTGCATCTTACAAGGCTAAATTCCATGCATTATCTCGCTATGCTACCCAACTATTGGGCACTGGGGAGGAGAGGATTCGTTTGTTTGTTAAAGGCCTGAAGACTAAGTTACAAGTTATATCTATTCACATGAAATATGTAGGGAAGAGTTTTAATGAGGTGACTGATTATGTAAAGAAAATGGAGGGGTCGGGTAGGTTGGGCAAACTAAGGTATTAGCTAAGAAGTTTAAGACTATAGGTAACTTCAGTGGTCTTACTATAGAGATCTTGATCAGCAGATTTATTCGGCTCATCCTATCCAGTCAGTCTTTCCAGCTTCTACAAGTGGTCCTTCAGGGGTTTTCAGCTTCTAGAGGTCATGAAGCTTCTTATTCTTCCACCAGCAGTCCCTCTTATGACCGAGGATGCTTCCATAAATGGTGATCTGGGTCATTTTAAGAGGGAATGCCCTCTCAGACATGCATGTAATCAGATGCAACAGCAAACTAAGGGTGTAGTTCCAACAAGTGGAGGTGACAATGGAAGGGGACGTGATACGGCCAAACTTACACTTCAATTAAGAAGTATAAACGGTCGAAGTCAATTTATAAAATTCAACGTGAGTTGAGGTCGATCCCACAGAGAACTTCTTTACAGAAATGATTACACTGTTGCGTTTACCCAAATGTTGTTATTATTTCCTAAAGAAAACAATTACGGAATGTAAATTGGGTTTAGTTGTCAAGTTCTAGTAACTAAGATTGTTAAACAAGATCCGAGTTAACAATTAACAGAGTACTGATTCTAAGGTTGTTTCGATAAATAAATAAAACTAGGGTTGTGTTTCCCATGATATTACATCCATTGTTCATCCGTAGCTGAGCTTCAGGCATTGTAGGCTTTGCAATTTATAGGCGAGTTGACTATATCCAACATTTCTCAGTCTAGTTAGATAATTTTCACTCAATTCCTCTTGGTCTTGGAGTGTTAACAAATTCCACCCTCGCATACAATGATGTTAAAGTTCTCTTCTCTCGAACTCAACCTTTAGATTAACTCTGCTTTTTCCCAACTATCTCTTTTCTCTCGAACAATCAATTGATACAGGCTGACTCTAATATGTGCACTCATTGGAACAAATGAATACTGAAAGTCGAGTTAATTATTGCAAATATAATTCACCTTCTACTCATTTTACGAATTCACAATTAGATTTCTATCATAGTTCCCACAACCCCAGTTGTGGTGTTTAGCCACTCATGACTTCCACTAAATGAACAAAGATTAGTAATGAAAACATTAAGAAAATTTACTTACGAAAATCTGCAAATTCATTGAACGAATGATATTCAAAATATCAAAATCCAACTTCCGAGATCGATTCAATGTTAATCAATAAAAACCAAAGTCAAAAGTATTCAAAACTAAGTCGCTCGTTCCAGATATGATGAGATAAAAACTAAAAATGACCTAATTAATTTAAATAAAGTGTCTAAAAAGAATCCTACTCGAAGTAGGACTGAACTGTCAGGCAACTTCACGGGCAATATGACGGACCGTCAAGGGCTTCACGATCTATGAAGTCTGCCATGATCTATACTTGGCCCAAACAAAATGTGAGTCTTCAATGCCCGTATACCGGATCTTCTTCACGATCACCACCACAGACCGTGATGAGGACCACGACCCGTGAGGCCTTCTGTGGTCTTCACTTGGTCAACACTAGACTGCATCTTTTCACGACCTAAACCATGGATCCATTCCACGATCACAACCATGGATCGTGACAACGACCACGGTCCGTATAGGTGCCCGTGGTCTTTACTTGGACAATTCAATCTTCATCTTTTTGATACCTATTCACTGGATCAGCTTCACAAGCACTTTTACGCATCGTTGTGAGGACCATGACCCGTGAGGTCGTCCATGGTCTTTACTTGGTATTGCCACAATTGATCTTCTCAAAGTCTGCTCACTAGAAAGGTATTCACGACCAACTTCACGATCAGTAGTGAAGACCACGGTCCGTGAAGCCGTCCGTGGTCTTTACTTGTTTCAATTCACTTTCACTACATTTTCTTCTTTTCTTTCCTCTTTCATGTCCACATGTTTTACCTATACAAACACTACCAAACACATCATATCCACATAAATACACTCGATTCTAGTATTAATTCTTAGTTTTCAAGCATCAAATGTGCCAAGATTTCGCGGCACATCAACACCCTCAACTTAGAACCATTACTTCTCCTCAAGTGATGAGAAAAACAACACATTTAGCAGTCAAACATTCAAAATCTTTTTGAAACTATGCAGCAACCATCTCAAACACAATTTGTATCCAAAACAATCATTCTAACATGCAAGGATCAATATATGACATCTCATTACTCACAGTCGACCATGCTTATTCCTGTGTATAATCAACTAACACAATCTAACTATCAAATGCAATCACTCTGTCCTCACACCAAAAAAGTCCCTCACTCATGATAATTGGGACTAAGTTCTACGCTCACACTCTCAAAGAACTTCTAACACTAACAACAAAAGACCACAGGCTTGCCCTTACTTTCTACGCTCTATATTTCAAACAACCAGAATATGATTACTCTAGGACTTTATCGGTTTGTAACATAGGCTCAGACTAGGGAATGGATATTTGGGTTTGTGAGTGACTAGTACCTTGGTTCTCCAAAGTTTCGTTCGCACACAACTCTTTCTGAGCAATTTCCTTTTTTTTTTCATTTCAGTACATCCCAGAAGCCATTATTTTTTTTTTAGGCTAAAGTATTCATTAGCCCCTGAACTAGAAGATTTTTATTCGGTGTACACCTAAACTATATTCCGTTTTAATTACCACCCGAACTTGTTTATTCCTCCATCGCGTACACCTTTATTGTCCACCTGACGTAGAAATTGACAACACACTCTACTAGGCGTGTGAGGAAGTGATTTTTTGCCATATCATAAAGCTGCAACGGTAAAAAAAACGTAAAATCTCCATTTTTCTTTAATATTTGGCATATTTTAAACAAAAAATAGGGCAAAATGTAAATGAAAAGTAAAGGAAACAAATATTAACACTTACTTGGTAAGAATTTCAGACAAATTTGAAATTTTAATTGACCAACTTTACGTCTAGAAAAACCCAAATCCAGAAGGAGTTCCGCGAAATCAGCCCTTATTCAAAAATTACTTTTAAACAATGAATGATTTCTCGCAATAGAATTAACGAACTGAAAACATTTCCAATACCGGCAGCAGCTCCCGCTAAAGCAATTGTAGCAGCTCCTGCGCCGATTCATTTTGCACCTTCTAATCTTACATAATAATAAAGAAAGTTAGCTCTTTATTTGTTTATCTCGCCTTTCTTTCTTTTCTTCGATTTTAGATGGTAAAAAAGAGAATTGAATTTCCGATTTTGTACCCTTTTGATATTTATTTTTTGCCATATTAATTTATCTAGGTGGTTGTTATTTATCCAGGTGGAAATCCACATCACCACTTTTGCCAGTTATCGCGCGTGTAGTCACAATAGGAGCAGGTGGACAAAAATGGTGTACGTGATGAGGAATAAACAAGTTCGGGGGGGGGGGGGGGTAATTAAAACGGAATATAGTTTAGGTATACACCGAATAAAAAGCTTCAAGTTCAGGGGGGATAATGAATACTTTAGCCTTTTTTTTATTGCACATCTTATGCTTTCAGCTAACTGAGTTAACCTTCTTTTTCACTTTTCCTTTCTGCTTGGGTTGTAATCACCCTCACCTTAGGATTTTGTCTTGAGTTGTGTCATTTTATCTTCGGAGACCCAAGGATATGATATTTAATGGGTAAGAACAAAATTGGTTTTCAGGCACAAGTCAGGTTCAAGTGATATGCTTTTTATTTGGTTGTTTTATTTTTGGCTTTTCAATGGCTTAGCAAAAATGGCCTACTAATCCTTTCCTATCCAGTTATCCTCAAATTTTAGCAAGACTACTCGAGCAAGTTCTAGTTTCTGCTCCTAGCGTTAGACTTCAAGCAACACGTACACACACATGACACATGACTACATTTTCAGTTTCTTGGTTTACCAATTTATTCTTCAGACTAGCAATGGTCAACATGTAAGTACCTAAGATGTCATCTAAAGATCCTAACAATCAAATTTCAGATCAACGTCATCATTTCAAACAGACTAGCTGCTGCATAACCCAACACACAAAAACTTTACAAAATCTCCACAAACACTTCACAACACAAAAACATTTTATCAGATAAACACAGAGTCAACCTCCATTCATTCTACCAGCTAAAATGGTAGGTTGCTCACCACTCTTTCCCCAAACAAAAGGACTTTGCCCTCAAAATCAATAAAGCAAAATAATATAGGGCTGTGAGGAAAGGTCATACCTATAGCGCACT